GTGCACCGTGTCATTCACACAAACACTAAACACCATCATGGTAAAACACATGAAACTGAAATAATGCAATAAACATTCATTTAACAACATTAGGTGTAACATACAACCCTAATATACAAAATTGATAAGAAAAAATGAAGAAGAAACAGTTATTTCAACAAAAAAACATCACATTTGAAATGTAACGCAGGTAATTCTGGGAATGTCAATTTACGGTTATTCACTGTAAATTACATGGTCTTTTTCACTTCCAAAAACGGTATACTACCGTAAAATTACATGTAATGTCCAATACAGTTTTTCATTGTATATAGTAGGGGAATTCACCGTTAACCATTTTTACAGTCTTTTACTGTTAAATTCACGGTCATTTTTTACAGTGTATGCTAGATGTGCTGATGGGTTGACAGATGTGGACTCTGTCTGACCTCACAGACTGACGCTGCCACTATGACGGGATGTCTGAAAGCTCATAGACGCCGAGAAGAGGCTTCATGTTCTCAAGAAACCACTGTGCCTCAAGGCTTCATGCTAATTATTGCGCAGTGGTGTCATTCATTAGATGATCTACTGAGTGAGTTTCATATCATACTGAGGCCGGATTCACCACAGCATCAGGAAAACAGGGGTTTGATTTAAAAACACAAAACAAATCATATATTTGCCTAGTTCCATTACTGTACACTGTAGATAGTTGTGGACCCCACAGTACAGTATCTGTTGGATATTTGAATCTCTTTGATAATTGTGCCAGTTTTTTAGAAATGTAGGCCTACTCTTTGTGTTCAAGTTGGCTTTATATTTGAAGAGTTCAGATGCAAAAGCCTCTAGGTGCCGTCTGAAATTTTCATTTAAAATGAGCATTTTTATCAGGCTCCTATAGGTTTAGTGATTTTACTTTAATGGCAATGTATAGGTCCTTTTCTATGCTATTACAGTGAAACAACTGAACATATATATAGGAGCCTGATAAAAATGCTCATTTTAGATGAAAATTTCAGATGGCACATAGAGGCGTTTGCATCTGAACTCTTCATTTGATTATCATTTTCAAGGAATGTTTCATTTTAATAACTCTAATAACGTCATGTGGTGTAACCATCAAGTAAAAAATAACTAAAAATAAATTTTTCTTACACCTTTGTGGAGCCCCACATATGACATGAGATGACATGACATTGTCACATATTAAGAATTCATCCCCATGACTTATTAATTAGTGGCCATGTTTTACTAATTAATTCCCTCGTTTTAGTTAAATTGTGGCCACATTGTACTTATTTCCTCTCTCATTTTAATTAAATAATGGCTATGATCTAACTAAATTAAAACTAATTAGCACAACATGCAGGTAAAGAAAATGTGGAAAAATTATTAACCTAAAACAAGGGAATGAAGTCGTGGGAATTTGTGGCCACAAAATATGTACAATATATACAAAATATATAGGCTCCATGCACTTTGAATACATATGACTGTACACATAATAATAATTATTTTCAAAAAAAGTTTTAAAGGGGTCATATGATGTTGCTAAAAAGAACATTATTTTGTGTATTTGGTGTAATGAAATGTGTTTATGCGGTTTAAGGTTCAAAAAACACATTATTTTCCACATACTGTACATTATTGTTTCTCCTCTATGCCCCACCTTTCTGAAACGCAGCGATTTTTACAAAGCTCATCGGTCTGAAAAGTGAAGTGTGCTGTGATTGGCCAGCTATCCAGTGCGTTGTGATTGGCCGAATACCTCAAGCGTGTGACGGAAATGTTACGCCCCTTACCATACTGTGATGCCGTGTCCCGGCGCGACGAGACAAAAACATTAAAACCCATTATAAACGAGGCATTTGTTGCATCCAGTGGGGACATAATTACGGATTATAATGACTTATACTGTCTTTTGCCGCATAAACGTAAAACCATGTCTGCATTTGTGATCGGAGAAACGACAAACAA